GATATAGCATTAGTCATTACAGGTCCTTCACTTCTAAATAAAGCACAAGGTGCATTAGATAAAGTAACATCTGAATGCATCGTTTTAGGGCTAAAAGTATCTGCACAGAAGTCTAAGGCAATGAGACTAGGCGGCAACATTCCAGACAGGCACCTACGCATTCAAGACATTAACCTTCAGTGAGTTACACAATATTAATATCTCGGAGTGTGGATAGATTTTAAAATGACATTCAACAAGCAAATTCAATATCTGAAGGAGAAAGCAAAATCACGACCAAATATAATGAGAGCAATCACAGGGCCCCGTCTTGGAACGGGACACAAAGTGTTAAGAATGTTTTACATACACGCCGTTCGTTCCCTAGTTGATTATGCAGCGCCTGCCTTACTCACTCTTTCTCCTGGTCAGTGGGCAAACGTTGAGGTTATTCAAAACGATGCAATGCGAGTCATAACAGGAGCTCCCAGATGGACTAAAATACTGAACCTAAGACTGGAAACCAAGCTAACGTCGATTGAAATAAGGGTAAAAGGGATCGCTGCGTGCATGCTGACCAAGATATTGACTAGACCTAGAATCAGTTCACTTAAAGATATAATCACTGGAGCACTAACTCTGGACAGAAGAGCCTCCAATAGGAACAGGTGGACCCACTGTGCGATAAACACCACCAATACATACGATATAACAAACACAGTCACTGAGAAGGGTGTCGATGAAATACATGCAGACTTTGTTATGCAATCCCCTTGGTAATCTCTGCCAGCAGACTTTAAGATTATGATTATTGAAGGAAAAAAGAACCAGACTAATCCTCATCTGCTACGTAATATTGCACAGATGCATATAGAAGCAAACTTGGCATCTAACAGCTTCATATACTTCACAGATGGATCAGGAGTGCCAGCAGGGACAAGAAACCGGAGCTGCAGTTAAAGCAGGAAACTCTGTAAATAGTTGGAGACTCTCAAATGGGTGTTCGACTTTACAAACAGAGATGCTAGCCATTCAAAAGGCTTTGGAACATGCTCTTGCTGAACACCGACAACATGTTATCATACATACAGATTCGAGAACCGCCATTGAAACCTTGCAACAAGAACACATATGTGATTACATATATCTGATCACAAATGTCATATCATCAATGCAAACACTCAAAAGACAAGGCCGACGGGTACTTATCAACTGGGTGCCAAGTCATGTGGGAATAATAGGAAATGACATTGCAGACGAAGCTGCAAAACTTGCAACTAAGAGAAGAAATGTAGACATTTACATACCACAGAGTCTATCACAGATTAAGAAAGTAATTAGAAACAGAACAGTGCAAAAGATGTACAGTGACCACAACACAGCAGTTGCAACATCAGGATCTGCGGGTTGGTACAAGAATTCAACCAACTACGAACCACTTAGTTTGATGAAAGGGAGCAGTAGAGCAACAGAAGTACACTTACATCGCATCAGGCTTGGATACCCATATGCATGGGATATAGGCTTACAGATTCCGGAAGATGAGAGGAAATGTCAACACTGTGGAGAAATGCCCGACAGACCACTGGAACATTATCTAACACAGTGCACAGTTACAAACCTTTTAAGATTTCAACTTAGATTCAACAGAGCAGAAGAAGTTGTTAAACACATGGGACAAAATCTTACTGAAGCGACCATACGAGTCATAAATACTCATACTCCGCCCAAGTAAAACAGAAACAAGCAACACTTAGTGGGCCAGCCAGAGGCATCGGGCCCACGCAGGAATATCCCTGCAACAAAAAAAAAAAAATGAGTAGCGTACATGACTCTACTCCATGTACATACATGTATATACATATATATATACACTCAGACGAAGGGAGTGCTGCTCGTCTCAACGAATATATCATGATAGATAATGAGTATAGTCAGCAGGGAGTATACCGCGAGCCGCTGCAGCGTAATAATCTACGTCGTCGGCTCTCAACCAAGGTTCCTGCCTTCAATCCCCCACCCCTCCCAGTAGGACAGAAGCGTTTGGGCACGTTTCTTTTCAACTATTAGTAAATAATAGGAAGACAACTATTGACGGTTAATGCCTCACCATGAACCATATAGCAGCAGCCACTGATGGGTTACACAGTGGGGTTTTATTTCGCTGGAACCAGTGGTCATCACGGCTCCTGGAACCTATATAAGTTCCTATAGGTATAGGAACCTATTCCATTCTACGTGGAGATCGACATCCAGTTGAAATTGATCGTTCTTTCCATATCTAAGCATGTGAAATGTCTGACTGTGGATTGTCGTGTTGGTTTCTGTTGCCCCCCTGACAGGTATTGTTTATATTTGTAGCTGTTAGTGTCTGTCTGTCTGTCTGGGTGGTCAGTTTGGCGTCGTCTGTAAAGGAAAACATGAGCATGTGATTTGTCGTGTTGACATTGTCTGATTGGAGAATGAGAAGCAGTGGTGCAAGGACAGTACCTTTGGGAGGGGGGGGGGGGGGATGGTACAAGGACAGTACCTAGGGTGGGTACAGTGGTGGTACAAGGAGAGTACTTTGAATGTGTGTGTGTGTACTCACCTATTTGTGCATGCAGGATCGAGCATTGGCTCTTGGATCCCGCCTAACTGTGTGTGTGTGTGTGTGTGTGTGTGTGTGTGTGTGTGTGTGTGTGTGTGTGTGTGTGTGTGTGTGTGTGTGTGTGTGTGTGTGTGTGCCTGTGTGTGCGCGCCAAGGTGTACACATGAGTGAAGGGCTGCCACGCCCTGTTTGTTAAGAAAAAACAAAAACCTAACTCTTATATCGAGGGCGCACGCAACACACACACACACACACACACACACACACACACACACACACACACACACACACACACACACACACACAGAGTTTAACCCAAGCAAATGTAATGTAATGAAGTTAGGTGTAGCGAGCAGGAGGCCAGTTACAAGGTATCATTTGGGAGATGAAATTCTACACGAGTCACAGAGAGAGAAAGACCTGGGGGTTATCAGGCCAGACCTGTCCCCTGAAGCTCATATCAAGAGGATAACATCAGCAGCATATGCCAGGTTGGCTAACACAAGAACGGCATTTAGACACGTGTGCAAGGAATCATTCAGAACTTTGAATACCACCTATGTCAGACCAATCCTGGAGTATGCAGCCCTAGCATGGAGTCCATATCTAGTCAAGCATAAGACCAAACTGGAAAAAGTTCAAAGGTTTGCTACCAAACTAGTACCCGCGCTGAGTGGTATGAGCTACGAGGAGAGACTACGGGAATTAAACCTCACTTCGCTGGAAGACAGAAGAGTTAGGGAGGGACATGATCACCACATTCAAGATTCTCAGGGGAATTGACAGGGTAGATAAAGACAGGCTATTTAACACATGGGGCATACGCACTAGGGGACACAGGTGGAAACTGAGTGCCCAAATGAGCCACAGAGATATTTGAATGTAACAACTCTTGTATATATCTAAAAAAAAAAAATAGTGTCAGAGTAGTTGACAAATGGAATGCATTAGGGGGTGATGTTGTGAAGGCTGACTCCATACGCAGTTTCAAGTGTAGATATGATAGAGCCCAGTAGACTCAGGAACCTGTATTCTAGTTGATTGACAGTTGAGAGGCGGGACCAAAGAGCCAAAGCTCAACCCCCGCAAGCACAAATAAGTGAGTACACACACACACGCCCGCACGCGACACACACAAGGGGACACAGGAGGAACTGAGTACCCAAATGAGCCACAAGGATGTCAGAAAGAACTTTTTCAGTGTTAAGAGTAGTTTACAGATGGAATGCATTAGGCAGTGATGTGGTGGAGGCTGACTCCATACACAGTTTCAAATAAAGAGCTCAGTAGGCTCAGGAATCTGTAGTTGATTGTCAGTTGAGAGGCGGGACCAAAGCCAAGCCTATAGTTGCTGTGTCACCCAAGGCGGTGACTCCATAAGGTGCTGTAGGTTATGGAACAAGTTCGTTCTGCCAAGAGGAACATTGAATGTAAAACTACACCAATTATCAATTATAAATTCACCAGCTAATACTATTGAGAATTCTTCTAAAAACCTCAGTGTCTGGACTGTAAACATCATGAAAACATTTCCCTTGTGATTAGGATATGTCGGTTAGAACGCCTAGCGAGGCTACCCAAATGGGCCAATATCAATTAAACAATTTCAGTCATCATTTCCCCCTGATATAAGTGTCATATATAGGTTACGAATATTATTGTGGGGAGTGCCTTTTGGGCAGGTGAAATTGAAGGGGAAGTAGAAATCAAAACTACCTGATACAACACGTGACAGATGATTACACTAGCCTCACCTACAAGGAGTATTAGTCTGTGATCATCTATGTTCATATCTGATTGACCAGACAATAAACAGCCATACAGATAAGTTGTATTTGTTTAATTTAATTTACTAGGACTAAGTTAATCTAAGTTAATTAATCTAATTTACTAGACTGATTTAATTTAATTTCCTAGACTGATTTAATTTAATTTCCTAGACTGATTTAATTTAATTTACTAAGACTGGAGTAGTAAACCTTTTAAGGAATTGTCTTATCAATCGATAATTTCGATTGATAGACTATATAATTAATAATCCCCCCCAGCTTGTATAGAAAACGATTTGTGTGAATTTAATATCATACAGTCCACTTTAATTAAATTCATATAGTAAGCTATCGAAATAAATAAATTATCGTCCGTTATTAATTTATTTCTAACGGTTATTATCGTTAGAAATAAATTAATATAAAAATTTTAATTCATTAAATAAATTAGTAATTGTATTGAAATAAATCAATAAAACCCACGAGTCAGTTTTCCCCACAAGACCATGAAGGAGGCGAGGCAGCAGCAGCAGGAGACCATGAAGGAGGCGAGGCAGCCCCCCCCCCCCAGGGCACAGCGGTCACCGTGACTGGTGGAAGACAGACAATAAGGGGCAACAGAAGAGTGTAATAGCCACGGTAAACGTTACAATGGACGCAATTCAATATTCCTTCTCCTCTGAGTTAATGACTTTATCGCTGATGCCTCCAGTGACGCTCAGCTGAGCTTCAGCACCTGACGCAATAACTTCAGCGGATGACGCAATAACTTCAGCACCTGACGCAATAACTTCAGCGGATGACGCAATAACTTCAGCACCTGACGCAATAACTTCAGCACCTGACGCAATAACTTCAGCGGATGACGCAATAACTTCAGCACCTGACGCAATAACTTCAGCGGATGACGCAATAACTTCAGCACCTGACGCAATAACTTCAGCGGATGACGCAATAACTTCAGCGGATGACGCAATAACTTCAGCGGATGACGCAATAACTTCAGCACCTGACGCAATAACTTCAGCGGATGACGCAATAACTTCAGCGGATGACGCAAGGTTTTGAGTAAAAGACGCAAATGCTAAGACTACGTAATATTTAGCTATAAATATTCACGGGATTATCTATAAGAAAATAACTTAATTTTTTGTGATGGATAAATCAGGTTTATCGAGGTGTTGTGTAGGTGTGGAGGTTGTTTGTAGGTGTGGATGTGTAGGTGTGGAGGTGTTGTGTAGGTGTGGAGGTGTTGTGTAGGTGTGGAGGTGTTGGTGTGGAGGTGTTGTGTAGGTGTGGAGGTGTAGGTGTGGAGGTGTAGGTGTGGAGGTGTTGTGTAGGTGTGGAGGTGTAGGTGTGGAGGTGTAGGTGTGGAGGTGTAGGTGTGGAGGTGTAGGTGTGGAGGTGTAGGTGTGGAGGTGTTGTGTAGGTGTGGAGGTGTAGGTGTGGAGGTGTAGGTGTGTTGTGTAGGTGTATGTGTTGTGAAGGTGTGGAGGTGTGGGTGTGGAGGTGTAGGTGTGGAGGTGTTGTGTAGGTGTATGTGTTGTGTAGGTGTGGAGGTGTAGGTGTGGAGGTGTAGGTGTGGAGGTGTTGTGTAGGTGTATGTGTTGTGT